TTCCGGCCTGGGCTGATCAGCCTGCCTTGTTCAAGCAAGCGCGGATGCCTATCCCGGCTCTACGCGCGGGGGGGTTTACTGTGTGGATTGGTGTAAGTACGCGCGCAACTTGCGGTCGTATCTTCATACATGAGACTCATCCTGAGTGCTGGGGATCAGGTGCGCAGAGATTTGGTGACTAGGATTGAGATGCAGTGCTGAATTGCGCGTTTTTTTTGATGCCCCTTAGGAGAAATATGGTGCCGGCTCCTGCCACGGCTTGAAACAATGTGGAAGTTGGAAGATCTTCCTGGCATGAGTTTGACCTGTCATGCCCAGATCGTGCAGCAACTCCAAATTTCCATGTGTGAGCCAACGTGAGCACAGTTGATTTTGTATACCTGTCACGCAGCCTTCGAACAATTTGAGTCTTTACCAAGCTGTGGATCATGGCGCAAACTCATGACCGAAACTTTTCCCTGAGCCAAGGTTAAGCTCGAGCCAAAACGGTCTACCCTCTTTTGTGCCTGGTCCACTTAACCCCTGGCCCCACAAAACGTCAGGGTTACTAGGTGGTTTTGTATGTGTAATTTTCCGCTAGCTCCTATGCCCTCCCATGCAGTCTCACACTGACATGGACAGGTCCACCTCTGCAGTGGGGTGGGCCATCACAAACAAGAAGCGTCAAGGTGATTTTCCTTTTGGTTTTCTTCGTCAAGGAAAGGAGTTGATTGTCTACGCTAGAAACACGGACAGTTGCTTCCCTGTCTATTCACCGTTTGTCGCAGGGCCTTTCGTCGCCTCATGCTGCGTGGCTCTGCCTTGTGGTCTCTGTGCCTCATCCTGCTTCTGCGTTTGTTGTTTGGATCTGTCTTCCCGCTCTTGTCTTCGAACTAGTTCTCCCTCTCTCTCCTCTCTCTCCTCTCCCTCCCTTTCTCCCTCCCTCCCTCCCTCCCTCCCCTCCCTCCCTCCCTCCCTCCCCCTCTCCCTCTCCCTCTCCCTCTCCCTCTCCCTCTCCCTGTCTCTCTCTCTCTCTCTCTATCTCTATCTCTCTCTCTCTCTCTCTATCTCTCTCTCCTCTCGCTCGCTCGCTCGCTCGCTCGCTCTCTCTCTCTCTCTCTTTCTCTCTCTCTCTCTCTGTCTGTCTCTCTCTCTGTCTCTCTCTTTCTCTCTTTCTCTCTCAGCATGCTCCCTTCACGAACGTGCCGTCGCATGAGCCTGCGCTTGCATGTGCCCACAAGCGCCGCTGCGTCCGGAATCATCGAGCGCGTTGCGCTGGCCCTTCAAGTTGGCAGGACCCCGCAGCCATCACCTCGCAAAGTTGGATGTCAGACACCTTAAGTGAAAGCTAAGAGAGAGAAGTAGCGAGGTGCGAGCGCCAGGCAACGTGCGTAAGGTTGACACTTGGTGCCAACGCCTTGAGTGCAACCGTGCATGCCCAGCGGCATGTCCCTGCTGGATGAGATTTGGGTTAAACATAGCGAATTCTTGTTTTTTTTTTTTTTTAAAGGTTGGACCCTCCCCCAATGGTGGGTTCTCCTTTTGGCTTCCCTTTCATTCCAGCAAGAAAGGGTACCCTCATGCCACTGATGTGTCCAGCCGTGATTTTTCTCCAAAGCAAGGAGGTCAAATCGCACTCCCAATTCCAATTCGAGTGGACATCCTTTTCCATCCCGACTTGTGTTTGTCAACAGCGTACCCTGTGGTTCGGTTTCCTTCTGGTTCCAAAAGGTCAGCTATGAACGAGGGTTTATCCCTAGAAACACCCATCCATGCTAATTAAGCGTGCGGAGACGAGGTCCTGGCTGATCCTGCGGCGATACCAGCTTGCCCACTCGGACGTGGGTCAGTTGCCATTGTCGCCACCCAGCACTTTGGATGCAAGGGGAAGGGGGAAGGAAGCTGTTTGGCACATAGGTGAATCCGTATGGCCAGCGGATCATGTCTTAGGGAGCAGTTGCGATGGCCGGTCTCTACACAGCTCTTGTCTGACGTTTCTACTTTTCCATTTTGGCTCAGCTTCACGAACCTATAGGTGGGACATAGGGCAGCATCCTGCCGAGCGCAGCGCGCGAGCCTTCTGCGCAGATGGTTTGGACCACTCGTGCTTCGGTCTGAGATGCTGAGATTCTTCTTTTTCTTCTTTTCTGACTTGATATATTTCACAGACGTGCCGCCAATCCACAGCATTCAATGCCATTGGAGAATCACCTGTCTGTCCGCGATGAAGATAGGATTCAACGCAACACGTTCAAAGCACGTTATTCCGTGCGGGGCGGAGATCGCTCCTCTCTTCCTGACCTCAATTTCGTCCAACATTTGATTCTTGGCACGAATTTCTCGCCTTTCGTCCTTGACCCGGTGAAAATCTCACCTAATTCCTTCGAACTGAATCTGAGATCAACCACCTGTGCCCTTGCCTTTGCGAGAGCGCACAGCGTCTTTTCGACGCAGCGCTCTATTTCTTTTTGATTGATTGGGGGGAAGGAGAAGGCCCCAAAAACAAGTCAAAGTCAGCTTGTCTGTGCCACCCACCCACCCACCCACCCACCCACCCACCCACCCACCCACCCACCCACCCACCCACCCACCCAGCCAGCCACCCACCCACCTGTGATTTGGTAGAAGTTCCAGCAGCTCTTGCGAGCCGGAGCTGAGGCCCTGGCCCTAGCTTCGACTGCCAGGCGCCGCGAAGCCGATCTCGCGGATCCGCGGATGCCGATTTGCCGAGATCCTGCCAAAGCGGGTGCCGAAACGGAACCTGGTTTTCAGAGAAGGAGCCTTTGCGCTGCTGTTATACGGGTTTTGTATGGCTTTCGTACGGGTTTCAGGAAGCAAAACCAGGTTCTTCAAACGAACACCTGGTTTTCGACGCGTGGAGCCCACGTTTTTGTAGGTTCTTCGACTAGGTTTGCTGAGGCGACCTTGTGGCTCCAGTGTATCAGGAAGGGCGCAAATGAAGCTGCGGTTCCGTCATGGTCGGCTGGAATTGTGAGTTTCTGACATCGTCCTCTTCAGCTTGGAGCCGCTCTTGCAGAGCTGGGAGCTGTGTAGCGTGTTGCGGGAGGCCCCAAACCACGCAACGGAGACTGCCAGACGGACCGGAACGGCATTGGATGCGCAGGGCTTTCCATGGGGATCGGGATGCGTGAAGCGCTGGTGCGACTGCGGTTGACCTTGTGGCCTCCCATGTTATCGGTTGCGTTTTGTGCCTGACTCGGATTTGTAATGTGGGTATGGTTTTAGTCGATGTTTCCATTTGCCAGGGTACCCATTTTGGGGTTACCCCATTTTTGACCCACACCCATGTTGACCCGCGTCCAAGAGAGAGAGAGAGAGAGAGAGAGAGAGAGAGAAAAACAAAAAAAAAACGGATTGATCAATGTGTATTCTTCAAGGATTCTCAAACTGGGACCATCAGCCAGTGTAACCGGCCGAGAGCCAACCCGCAGGCTGGCTACTGGAATTGGGAATCCGCGTGGGCGCCCAGGTGCGTTCAGCAACTCTGGTGAAACACCGATTCAGTGCACCTAATCCGACACTCAGGTCGCCAAAACCTGACTGTTGGGGCCTGCAGAAACGGAAGCCGGTTCTTGAGCACATGTCGGGCGTGAGACGCCCCGGTTGGTTTGCTTTTTATGTGAGGGCTGTGATGGGACTACGTTCAAGTCCAAGTTACTCGCCCGGCAAGTGGATCTGTCACTGCAGGCTTTGTGCAGTTTGGTGTGTCTTTTTGTTGACCGCCGTTTTCAGGGTTCTTTAAAAGTAAGGAGCAGAACTCGGAAGCTTAAATAGAACACCTTTTGGGGAGCCCCCTACTTTCCCGAGATTTCAGGCGTAGCTTCGATGAGGTCTTGATGGGATTCGCTTTTCTCCCCAGGGATGTCGGAGAAACACAGTCGATCGTGTTGTTTGTTTTGGGCACAACTGATCGATCGTGGAAGGGTGCGCATCGAATCCTAGGATCCAGCCACATGCTGTCATTCACATGCCAAGTTGTTTTACCGCCAAACTGAGGGGCCGAAGAATAAACAGTTGAGCAACCTTTGACCAGCGATCAATCCTAGCATGTTTCTTTTGAATCAATTTCGGGGACTTGGTTGGGGAGACTCCTGTTTTTCAGGGTGTCCACAAAGAGGGTTGTTTCAAAGGGAAACCAAAAGAAGAATCCAATTCTGGGCTTTCCCCTGGAAGACCAACTGGTGAGGCTTTGGGTTCCGTTCTCCCAGGGCTGGAGCACGGAGAAGAAGGATTTCTGCTGTAGCATGCAGGGAAGAGGCCGGGGAGGGAGCGGCCAATTCGGCGGCCTTCAAAACCCAAAAGACGATCGGAGGAATCTCCGTTCAGGGGATCCCCGTTTTTGGTTCCATGGGGAGCAGTAGGCCGCTTTCTTTTGCGGGTGGGGCAAAACCGAACTCCGGGGGCGCGATTCTTGCTGCTGACAGAAACTTGCGACGAAGATGCAACGGACGCAAATTCCTTGGGCAGGGCCAGTCGTGTGCCACTCAAATGCCCCGTTTTGGCCCACGGATCGGTGGATTCCCTTGATGTCCGAAGTGATACAATCAACTTTGGAAGGGCAAGGTATGGTAGAGCAGACAGGTGACTTGGGGTGCAGACCGACGCACAAAAGGACCTTGACCTTGGAAAGTGCGAAAGGCCTTCCCTCCCACCCTCTAAATTCGAAGCTTTGGACGACCATGTTCCTCGAAAAGTGGGTTCCATGGCAGCGCACCTCGGCCAGCGAATCGAAGGGCTCTCGGACACTAGGGCTCGCCAGTTGTTGGACCTCATGACTGTGCGAAAGGCGCAGGGATGTGTTTTTGTCCTAGGTGGTAGCTTTCCTTTTGGTTTCCCTTAAACCACAAAGAAAGAGGTATCCTCCAAACCAGACACATCCGGATGGCGCTTGGCCTTAGTTCACAAACATGTAACACATGCCCAAGCGCCCCAAGACACCCCATGGCGTGTTTTGCCGCGCAGCTATTCAACCTTTTGCTCAATCACACTACGTGTGAGCAATGCTCGCGGTGCTTGGCATGTTAGTGTTGGCTGGCGCAGTGCGCCCCAGCGTCGACGAAGCTGCGCATCACCTTGAGGTGGGGTTGTGTGAACAGGGGGCGCGTGCTACTTTAGTATTGGGCCGGTCCGTTTTGTTTTCTCTTTTTTTTTCTTCTCCAAAGCATGCAAAACCCTGCAAAAGAATTATCCCGGCAAGAGACCCCAAATAGTTTTGAGCCTGGCTTGCCTTGATGATGGGTTGCCCGGAAGCATAGAACACGCTCAATAAACTCTGACACCTCCACCTGATGAGCAACACAATGCAAACGATGAGCGAGCTTAGCATCATGCTTCACAATCCAATCTCTCCTGCCAAGCGATGCTGTGACTTGACGCTGCGCGTGAAGCTACGTGTGAGGTTGCGCGTGAAGTTGCGCATAATGCTGCGCATGATGTTGCACATGATGCTGCGCGTGATGTTACGCACGCCGCCAAACCTTTCATGTCGCGTTGTCTTGTCAGCCTCTGTTGTCCATATCTGCGCGCAGCTTGGCAGCGCAAGAAGACTGGCTGTTTTAGTTGCGGATTTGAATGCTAAGTTGCGATTTCGGGCTGGAGACAGGGAATTGTACTTTGTGCGCTGCTTTTCCACTTCAAAGTTTGCGGTTTTCGAGCTGGAGATGCGAGAGTGCAATTTCCGAACAGAACTTTCGCGCTTAACGGTTGTGAATTTTCCGAGATGGAGCTGCGAGAGCGCGCTCGCGTGCCACCTTTGCAACGATTTTGCAGCCGGAGCTGCTTCAACTGACTTCGCGTCTTAAAAGCTGCAATTCTCGAGCTAGAGCCATGGCAGCCCACTTCGCATGCTACTTTGCCCCTGAAACGTTGCGACCTTGCACCCGGAGCGGGAGCGCGCTTCGCATGCTTTTTTTGTAATTAAAACTTGCGGCTTTTCGGCCGGAGTTGCGGGAGGGCACTTCGCGTACTACTTTTGCAATAAAACTTACGAATTTCGAGCCGGGCAAACCGACTGGAAAGCCACGTGTTTTGGGTAGTCCAAGGAAGGGGCTGGGTGAAGCCCAAGACATGCCTTGTTGCCCTTCAGCTGATTGGTGCTCCGCAAGAGGAGGGCTCTGTGGCAAAGTACGGGTTTTGGCCCAAAACCAATTGGCTTCTTTTGGGTTTCCCGTAAAACTAGGCGGTTACCTAAATGGGTGATTTCCTGTTTGGTTTTCCGAGCTACCCTCACTTGAGGGGTGGAAAGCTTGGGCTTGGAGCTGCGCGAGCGAAGCGCAGGTGGCGGTGGGGAACGAGAGCCGCAGGTGCGTTCCCGGCGTGGGCCCCAGTAGTAGGTTCCACCTCTTTTGCCCACATATTTTTGTGGCCTTTGCAAAAATCGGCCTGCAGAGGTCTCTCTCTAAAAATTACTTCGCTTCGAGCAATCCCCCCCTCCACACTCACGAGCTTACGACCGTCAACACAGTTGTGTGAATTCAAGCATGGTTTTCGAGTGGCTTGGGGCCTATGACTGCTCAACAAGCTTTGCATTGAGAGCCTTATCCACCTGTCTGTGTGTCAAACTCCACTTGTCTGCGAGCCGATCTCGAGAACTCAAACATCGGTTCCGATAACAAAAGCCAAGCCCCTTCGGGGATTAAACGAAGTTGCTTATTCACAGCCCAAAGCAACACAAAAGCATCGCCCTTTCCAAGCCTCAGGGCACTCAAAACACGAAGGCACCAACATGAAATTTAAACCCAACTGTGCGCCGGGCGGGACATAAAGCAAAACCAGACTGGCAAGCTGCTCTGGCGGGATACTGGCGGGATCCACTGGCGAATGCGGCGAGCCGTTCCGGCTCGATACTGGGCAGGATCCACCGACAAGGGACGAGCTACTTTAAAATGCGCAGCAGGATACTCGGCGGGATCCACTGGCGGGCCGCTCTGGCGGGATACTCGGCGGGATCCACTGGCAAGCTACTCTGGTGGGATACTTCTCTGGGACACTCAGCGGGACACTCGGCGGGATCTGGCTTGGTGCTCTGGATACTCGGCGGGATCCACTGGCGAGCTACTCGATCCTCTGGCGAGCTACTCTGGGATACTGAGCGGGATACTCGGCGGGATGCACTGGCCAGCTGCTCTGGCGGGATACTCGGCGGGATCCACTGGCGCGCTCTTGGCGGGATACTCGGCGGGAGCTCTGGCGGGCTGGGCGGGATCCACTCTGGGATACGGGATACTCGGCGGGATCCACGGTGGGATACTGGGCGGGACCCACTGACGAGCTGCTCTGGCACTGGCGGGATACTCGGCGGGATCCACTGGCGAGCTGCTGTGGCGGGATACTTGGCGGATTCCCTGGCGAGCAGCTCCGGCGGGTACTGGGCGGGATCCACTGGCGAGCTGCTCTGGTGGCGGGATCCACTGGCGAGCTGCTCTGGCGGGATACTGGGTGGGGGCGTGGTGTAGAAGCATCGCAAATGCGGATTCCAACATAAAATCTAACAACCCCTTCCTGTCGGGTGGGGAACAACAACATGAATCTTTGTTGGGAAGGAATCCTTGACTGTGCGCTTCAACATGGCATCGCCCCTCTGGAGGCTTCTTTTTGGGATCGTTACTGAAACTGACCCACCTTGGCCCACTCAAATGAACAAAGACAACAAACCAAGTTCCACCTTTTGGTTTTAAGCCTCACATTGACTCGACGTTCGGTCGAGCTGTTCGGGAAGCGAGCGCTGTCCTCTCGCTTCTTGCGGCTGAGGTGGCGTCAAGTCGGCCATCCCCGCCTTCCAGGAATCCACGTACCCGGGCATCGGCTGCAGCAAGCGGTACTGCGTGGCCACCACGGAGCCTCGGGTTTGGTTCGGTCCGAGGGGGGGGGAGTTGGCGAGGAGGAGGCGGGACAGGTCGAGGAAGAAAGGGGATACATCTGCAACGCCGTTCCTCAAGGAAACGTGCGAACAAACGTGCCCGTGAACCTGAAGGGACACCAAAAGGCTAGTGCTACGAATGCAAGATGCGGGTTTAAGCGACATCAAGCTTTGGGGGGAGGGTTTCACCTCCAAAAGACTTAAGGGCTTTGGTTGAAGTCATGTTTGTGCGGCTCACCAATTTGTCTCTGTTCTGGCAAGGCACGGGCTTGGGCTTGGAAGCCTGTTCTCTTACGTGCCTAAGCAAATCACCATCCTTTTGAAGGCAACAAACCGAGCCATGACGTCTGATCTGGAATTCCATCTTTCCTATAAATCTTCACGCCAACTTGGTCCTGGCTTGTTCCCGCCTCGTTGGCAAATAAAGGGAAACGGCGTGTTGGATGGTTTAGTTTGGGGTTTTAACAAAAGCCACCGAATCTCAACTGGTTTCTTCCCCCCCCCCCACCCCCTCACCCGTAGTCAGAGGTAAGACAGGTCTGTGGTTAGGATGGGTTTATTTAGGGTTGGATTGGGGCTGGTTTAGGGGTTCCCCCCCCCCCCCCCGCGATGGGAAGGATCGATTCAAGGCTGGTTTGGGTTTGGTTGAGGGTTGGATTGCTGGGTGGGGCACGGCTACCGTGTATAGCCAAGCCGCCATGCAAAGGGTATATGACATATATGCACCAGGGTTTTTGTTTGCTGGCTTTGTAAACTATTTGGCTACGAACTTTCAGAGTCGGGACACGAATCCCCATCGAATTCTGATGTCCACCATTTCAGGCCCTAGCTAAACATTCACGGCTGACATATAAGGAAACAATGACTTGTGGTGCTCAGTAGGGAACGTGGTAATGAACCCAGGGATCCCCCTAAAGGAAACCACCAGTTGGATTTGTTTTCTCTGTTTTTTTTTGTTTTTGTTTTTTTCTACTTTTTTCTTATTTTTTTCTTTTTCTTTTTCGGGTCATTCCATTTTTCATTCCCTTCGCACCAGCAAATTAGCTGAGAAAATGGGCACCAGCGCCATCTCCGCGGTGATCAACGGCGTGGTGATGCTGAATCCGGGCCTGGCCACCGCGAAGCTGGCCATCTATGCCGGCCTCCACTTCAGCGGAGCGATGATGGATTGGGACACTCGGCAAGATTCGAAAAGCATTCGATTCGATTCGAAAAAAAAGGAACAAAGAAAGAACAAAAAGGCCCCGCAACTTGCCCGGCTCGGCTTTTGTTTTTGTTTTTTTTCCACGTGAAAGGAAGGTAAGAAGGTGGGGCTCAAGAAAAAGATAACTTGACACCTGTCTTCGGGCACAAATGAGCTCTCCTGGAACCAGGCTTGCGGGATGGGGAGTTTATGGCACGTGGAACGGCAAGGATGTCCCAGGGAGCGGCCATCCTAGACTTTCCTCCCAGCCTCATGGCATGTCGAGATTGGTTTCATTGACAGGAACCTTTGGGCTTTCCGCTTTCTTCTCACTTGCCCAAGGTCGACCTGTGGATCTTTCGGTCCCATCTTCCAATTTTTGCGAAAGGGCCCAAAAGGCGATCGCTTCTTACTTCCAGGTTCTTACGGATCGAGTTGCTTAGGACAGCCACGACATGTGCACCTACATCATCTCCTCCATCGTGACCTCGTGCCCCCGCGGCGAGGTGAAGGGGTCAGCGTGTAAGCTTGGCACGCAGCGGCGGGATAACCCTTACTGCGAGGCGGTGGTGGCGAGCAGGCAGGGGTACGTTTCCACCCCGTGGGGGTGGATCAAGAGCTCCGTGCAAGGGGTAGGATGACCATTGCGAAGCCACGAGAAAAACAAAAAAGAATGGAACACCACTTGAGATGTCCGGTAAAGTTACCCAGGGTCAAAGCCAGGGATCTTGATCACAACCCCCACTTCCCTGTTTACTTCCAAAAGGCAGTTTCAACGGACACCAACACCATTTGCCACATTTGAAGGAGAAATGGAACTCCGCCTCAGGCGCGACGAGGCGGAGTTCTCGTGCGCGGTCCAGTCGTGGTGGGACTCCTGCTGCAACGTGAGGGAGAAGACCAGTAGCCGGTTCGACAGCGAGTGCGACAACTGTGGGCAGGATGGCTGGTATTGCGCGGGTATGGAGGGCTGACTCTAAGTCCGGCGGTGCTTGCCGCAAGCATCGCCCGTTGAAGTAGGCGGCAGGTGGGTAGCTGATGACGCCAGGGGGACCATGTACCCCGGGCAGAGAGCGCTTGCCCAGCGAACCTGGCGCCAGCTTTGCAAATGCGAAGCCCTTTCTCGTCGACCGACAGGCTTCGGTTCCGAGCTCCGCAAACAGTCGGGGGAAAAGAATCCGAGTGGAGGGTTCAGGAATCTTGCACCAGCTGCTTGAAGACTCGTTGCTTTTCCAGAGTCAAGTTCGGGCCACAGCTGCCGAAGTGGAATAGGCGAACATAAATGTGTAGCACAGCACAGACCCATGTGGAAAGTGCGCACGGGAGCGAGCCGCTTCACACGAACAATACTGTGAAACGACTCGACCGATATGTTCGAAGATTTCTTTGCTTTGGATCTCGTCAGGGATCTGCAAGGTTTGTAAAGTCCCTGCTTGACGACTTGCACGATGAGCAAGGCGTGGTATGTTTGTCCCAACTAAGCAAGCTTAAAGGCTTCAATTCAGTCCGCGAGCATGCGCACATACACACTTACCCCTAGCCACTCGTGCGGTGACAAATACGTAAACACATGCACATTTACACACCTACGCACTTACACCCATACATGGCATACATACGCATTTGCATATACACACAGACACACACCTCACACCTACACGTGCATTCACATGGGTGTAGGTCAAAATTAAACCAGCAGGGGACCGCCTGTTTTAGTCATGGGTTCCATTTACCAGGGTTCCATTTTGGGTACCCATTTTTGACCCCCAGCCAGAAATATGCATATATGTACATATTTATACGTACATAGAACATACATACAAAAGAATGAATTCACGTACAAGTGCCCGTTGGGAGATCCCACATTGGCGCTTGGAGCCCTTCTCCGCTTCTCTCGCCAGGCTGCGAGGCCTCGGGCGGCTACGGCGAGGCCTCGGGCGGCTACGGCGACGGCGCCCAACCCCAACCCGACGCGGACTTCGACTGCGGGGCCGCGTACGGCAACTGGCAAGCCGCGCCCGGAACCTCAAACTCTCGAGGAAAAATCCGGGGGAAAAGCGTAAAAAAACAAAAGTCCAATGGGCGAGGCGCTGCTTCCTTTTTGGCTTTTCCGCAAAAGGGGGAGTGCACAACGGGTTTCCTCAGGCTCGCAAACAAAAGACCCAAAGCAACCAAAACTGTTGGTGGCTGCTGTTAGGTTTGTGTCGGCGAAGCGTGAGGTGGTCTTTCGACAAGAAGCGCTGGTGCTGCGAGAACCAGCAAAGGGGCTGCCCGGAGACGAGCAGGCGAGGGATTCGCCGGGGCCTGGTTTGACACTGCGATGTTTCGACACGTCGCAACGCTTGGGGCTACGGGCCGCAGGATTTCCTTTATGCTGTGCTGCCATCTCTCCGTGAACATGCAAGTATGGTTTGCTTGACTTTCGGGGACCGGCGTTTTGCGTCGAAGCAGTCCAGATGCCGAGCAGCCACCCTAGATCAAATCAGTTTCCTGACAAAGTGCCGTGATCATTTCTGCAGTATCTCGAGATGACTTCACATGCTGTTGAGTTGGCGATGAATAGCGGTGACCTCAAGGGTCCTTCCTGAACACTTGGCCACCCACCCCCGAAACCAGACAGACCAGCACACTCGATCACGCACCGCAAGCCAGCCTGACGATATCCCGAGACCCGAGGCTACCCACAAAATGAGATGCTAAACCTCGGACACACCGGGCCAAAGTCAAACGGAAAAGGCGTGGGCTCGCCGGGGAGAGCGAGAGCGAGAGAGAGAGAGAGAGAGAGAAAAAAATAAAAAACAAATGTAGGATCAGTCCAACGAATGTTTCGGCCGAAAGAACGACGTGAGTCAAATGCGCCTCTCCTTTCCTCAAGCTGTTGCTTGGATTTCCCTGGCGTCTCTCAGCGTCTCTCAAAGGGCTGCGAGGAAACCAACCGGAGGCTCAGGAAAAAGGTCCGCAAGTATCAGTCCTTCCCTATTTGGCTGTGGGTCAAAACCAATGGGATCCCATTTTGGGGTAGGTGAATTCACCACCCATTTTAGAACCTGTTTTAGCGGTTGGATTGAATCGGATGTTCAATGGGGGCTAACCGATTTGGCTTTGGCTTTTGACCCACAGATCCCATTTTTTGTGTTACCAGCTTCGCCTGAAGCCGATGTTTGGCCAGGGCCTACGACTGCCAAAGTCACGAGGCAAGCTGGTCGGAGATGAAGCAGGCAAGGGAAGCGGGGCAGCTAGCAGTGCTCGGGGAACGAGTTGGAATGACTTCCTTCCAACTGGCATAGGTGTCCTTTTTGGTTGATTTGCTTTAAAATTAGAGGGGTGGTTCAATCATCTACCAGGGCCATCTATTTCCCCAAAAAGGACACCTATGCCAACTGGTGGTTTCCTGAATCCATTCCGGTTCATTCCGTTGATTCCCTGCCTGAGAACCAAGAGGTGAGAACCAGAGGCTGCGAACTTCGTTGGCCATGGTTTTCAGAGGGAGAACAAGTCCATCAAACCTCCCCTCCTCCCTTGGGGCCGGAAAGCGTTTTTTTCCTTCTTCTTTTCTTTGTTCCTTCCGGGGACCAGCTTGGCAACGCATGTTTCTATCCTCGCATGCTTTCTTTTGCCCGTAACACCACCATGCTTCCCCAGAACTAGTCCCCCTTTTTATGTTTTGCTTAACAACCTTTGTTTTCCATTAACCAGGCATTCCTTTTTTTGCTGGGGTCCTAATTCCAGCCTAGCATGAAGGAACGGAATTGGCAGGCCAAGGCCCCGGCCAGCGCAAGGCTTGGTGCTGCAGTCGCTTGAACATCGGCTGTGGCGAAGTGATCACCTCCGTGCCCTACGACTGCACGGCAGGCGCGCGCGCGCACGTCGGGCGTCTATCCTGTGCCCAAAATGGTCGCTTTCGGATGCCCTCCTTGCATGAAGAAGCCAAAGGCTTCGAAAGAGTTCCAACTGGAGGCGAATTCAAGGCTTCAGGGTAGAGACCTCCAGTCTGGGCGATTCATGGGATTCTGATGGCGATGAACATGTGAGGGTGCCAGCATTGCGCGCCGAAGGGGCCCTGGTGTGTGCCGTCTAATTGGGAGGGTTTCACTGTTCCTCTCCACGAAGGAAGTGCCAGGACTTCTGAATTGCCCACACCAAAGCAAGAGCAAACTCTGCAATCGGTGAAGCAGCATTGCTGGGCACTTCCGTTCAAGTGGCTGGTCTGCGCATCAGATGATAGGTGCTCTCTGATATCCTTTCAGCGTTTCCGGGTCTCATGTGTTTCAGAAGCAAAGTTTTCTAAAGCGGCCCTAATCCACGCTTCATATCCAGGCAACAAAAATGCACACGGCCTAGATGGCGCCCGTCAGACGCGCGCGCGCGCGTGCTTGCACGACACCTGCATCCAGGGGAGAAGAACTGGAAGAAGGGCTGGTCGATTCCCAAGAAGCAGTGGTGCTGCCAGGCGGGCGGCGAGCGGCGAGGGGACGTGTCGGGACAGGGCGGAGTTGTTTTTTTGGAATTTGGCCAAGTTGTGCAGCAGCCGCTGTAGTGGGGAAACCCCTTGCCCAGTTGCGCTCTTTTGCTCTGGGCTGTTAGCTCTCGCTGATGTTGTAGTACCGGCTGCATTGAGTTGGTGATGTTCGGGTCATCCACTGGAGCTTATTGGGAGTTGAGGTTTCGTCCATCTGCTTGATGCTTTCGGTGGCAACACAAAAGGCCAAGGTTCATTTGGGCTGAGCTCCTGATTTGGGCCCTCGTCCATCTGAGGAATTCAAAGTGGGCTGCCTCCATGACGAGTCGGACTTCGACTGCGACGAGGGTCTGGACAACTGGAAGGTGCGGACTTCCGACGACCCAAACAACGAAGGACTTTAGAAGCCACCCACCTTTGGATGGTGTATTTGAAGGGCACCTAAAGGGAACCCAAGCAGTCTTAGGCTAAGGGCCTTATCTAAGGGCATGTTCGTTTCGGCGCACTTGGCAGCTTGATTTCTGCTCATTTGGTTGGACGCTGGCATGCTCCGAGTTCTGTTTCCTTCCAATGAGAAGCCTTTGTCCCCTGCAGAACACCCCTGTAGGAGTGTCCCGCGCGCCCATGTGTGATTTGTGTCATTTGAGCACCCTTCAAGCAGCGAGGGCCCTTAATCCTTCGTTCCTTGAGCTCAAAACGACAAAGCACCAAGTCATTCAGCACGAGATTGCCACGCCCATTCACTGGCATTTGGGGCCTGCTGGTTATTTTTGGGCAAGTACCAACTGACCTTACCCACTTTTTTTTTTCCTGAGGGATCAGTTGGCCTTGCCCATTGGTCGCGATTCCCCCTGAATTCTCCCCCACCAGGAACTCATAGAGGTAGAAACTCCCAGATTCCAGTTGAGCCGCGCCTGAACCCCCCAACTAGGGCCAGTTTTGGTGGTGCTACCTGGCCTCATTGTGGTTATTAAGGCCTACGTCTGCCTTTACCATGTATCCAAAAGTCAGCTCGCATAGGTGTCCTTTTTGGTTGGTTTGCTTCAAAAAACAGAGGGCCCTGGTTTACCTAGTGGCTCAATCATCTACCAGAGCACTCTATTTTCCATGAAAGGCCACCTATGTGGGTATGGGTCAAGATTAAACCACCAGGGGACCACAGGTTTTAGTCCTTGTTTCCATTTACCAGGGTGTCAGCTTGGGTTTCGGATGCTCAGTTGGGCTGGTCGCTGGACAAGATGCGCTTCTGCTGCGACACCCAGGGCCGCCCGGAGCCCCGGAGAGCTCTGCCAGCGGCGATGGGTTCGTGTTCGGCGCGGGGGGCTGGGGGGCGGGGGGGCCCAAACTCACCACATAGGTCAGTCTTTTTTTGGAGCCTAGAGGGAAACCCAACGCAACAAAGAAATTCCGGGGTCCCTTTTTAAGACACACCCTGGCAAGTGTTCGGATGCAGAGAAGGAATCCTACATAGGTTTGTCTTTTAAAGGTTGAACCCACCATTCGGGGTTTTCCTTTTGGTTTCCCTCCAAGCCCACTGAACAAGCTTTTCTTTACCGCCGCCCACATGTGTCCTCGAGTTGACCATCCTCGTGCGAGGCCTCATGGCCTTGGTGATGCAACCTTGGAAACGACCTTGTAAAGATATCAGAAGTTCAGGTTGTAATATATATATATTGTGGATTCAGCAGGTCATACATCACGTTTTGGGCAGTCTCTGGTTTGCCTTGCACAGCGCTTGATATGAGGCAGAAGTTGGGAGCTGGGCGAGACATGCTTTGCTCAAACAAAAGCCGCTGTCGGAGTTGTTCCCCAACCCCTTGGTTTGCGCTTTGATTGAAGGCACTCAATTTCTCCGGCAAAAGTTGATCAATGTACCTGGGTTCCGCCTGCCGCAAAGACGGGCCACTTGGTAAAGCATGTCGAGACCCACATGTTGTATCAACCTCCTTTTGGCTCCCTGTAACTGTGCCGGGTCTGGATCCACCTCAACCTGGGAATCCAAAACCGCGAGACCCGGGTCGCGCCTCCCCCTCGGATCTCGGATTCCGGACTCAGGGGGTTGTTTGCCCACCACCACCACCGCCATGTTCGACTGCCACGCCGGGCTCGCGGACTGGGAGGCGCTGGTTTTATTTGTCGTGTCCGAAGCTCTGGGGTTTTCGACACACAAGAGATGTTCCAAAAAGGTGAGAACATCCCAGTCCGCTCACTCATGTTTTCCGGGGCTGCGCGATGTTCCAAGCTGAACATCCGCAAAGTCCACTCTGTGTATGGCTCTTTGGCTGGAACCCAACACACAGAGAAACGTTCGGCAGGGCGAAGGGCAACACGCTTGGCCACCAAGAGAAGGGCTTTCGTTGTCCAGAGGTTGCACATGACATTGGTACGAGACTGGCTCGGCAAGCACATGCAGCATGGGTGTGAGTCACTTAGGAAACTGCAGGTGAGTGAGCAGCTCAAGACATGGCTGTGGTGGTCAAAACCGTCAAACGGTATCCCATTTTGGTTGGGACTGGTGAATTCACCCATTTTAGGCTGCCTATTTTCGTGGTTGGATGGATTGAATCGGATGTTCACCGGGGGCCAAATCCGATTTGGATTTTGAGCAGCCGATGGCCCAACGGAAGCCATATCGCACAAAAGAAAAGCGCGAGGACCTCTTCGGGGCTTGGCATGGGTTAGCATCGGTTGCGTCCGGTTCCTCAACTCCTTTGGGGGTTGCATCGTCTGTGGAGTCCGTGAGTCCAGAATCAAAGGCTGGCGAGTCAGAAGCCGTCACGTGGTACATGATGGGTTCGGACCTCTCGGCGCAGCCGTCCGGATGAACTTTCTCGGATGAGCAATTGTATCATGCGACTTGCGATGCGCGGAGGTGAAGGCAACGATGGGTTGACAAAAAGGGCGAGCATTCTCAGCTTGGCGGCTTCTATTCAGTGAGCATGAAAATCTTGGTCATGGCTCGAGCCCAGCGGATTTCACGCCATCTCCAGTTTTTGTGTGTGTACCCCCTTGAGCATAAAGGACAGGGATCGGACTGTCAAGTGCCAGATGCACACTTCTCCACCAAAGCGCATCGGGGATATAGACCTTGGACGAGAAAGTTGTGCATCGCGCCAATGAAAGTCCCTGCCACTCAAGAGAACAACAGCAGTCCGCGGCTAATCATAGACTGTATGGTTTTGGGCTGAAATCAATATCAACAAAACAAGTATTACTAATTAAACCAATCTTAGTAAAGCACCATTATTACTTACAACATATCTATCGCGTAGTTGGACGCTTTGTCCAGCGGTCGGTTTCAACACGCCTCACCCCTCACCTGGCGCGTCCAGGCGGGTTGGTCGCACCCGAAGAAGCTCTGGTGCTGCAGCCACTTCAGCCGCGGCTGTCGGGGACCCAGCCATCGGATCTTCGGGGTCTCTGTGGTTCCAGTCAGGCGGCTTTTGCTGCGACCAGAACTGCCATGCCGGTTTTCTGTCGTCTATTTTTTTTGGGATCCCAGTCTGAGTTGGAGAGCGCCACGTTGCACTTGATCGAATGGTTGCGCTCATTTCAGCGCAAGGGTCCAAGTTGCAAGGGACCCCGAATTGGGTTTCAACACCAGGCTGGGGAGTCTGAAGGTCTGATTCACCTTCTTTGATGATTGGCGTCGCTGGGATGCCAATGGGATCTGGACAAAAGTGAGGTCTGTTCGAAGTCCCCCACGGTGTAGCTTTCGGGGCTTTGAATCAGGTATCCCCCGATTGGTGGTTGGTGGTTCGAGGATTTGAACTTTGCGGGAAACCACCCCCACCACCAAGCCTCCAACTGGAGGGAAGCTGAAACAGACCCCCTGGTTTGGTAAGATGCGCTTTGCCGTCCAATATGTGTCCGCCCGAGGTCCCCGCACCACGCCGCCGGAGCCCTACGACTGTGGAGCGGCGGTGGACAACTGGAAGGCGCGGAGGTTTTGGGGGCAGGATCGGATGGCGGAGGTGATAGTACGTTCAAGCCCCAAAACTCAGACATCAATGGAAAACTTGGGCCACACAGAATTTGCCAATCCGAGTTTGTGCAATTCCAAGCCCGAACCTGTCCAAAGGGGGCAATCCGCACATTTTCCGTTCAAACACAAGTAACAAGTGGGTGGGGGTCAAGAATGTGCTACCCCCAAAATGGGTTGCCCTGGATGGAAACAAGGGCGATTTAACATACGGTCTGGTGGCTTAATTTTGACCCAGAAGTCACCTCCCCAGTTGGCACTCTTGGCATCAGTGTCGCGACCACTTCCCCGCAACTAGTGTGTCAGAATCAACCCTGGGTGTGTCATGGTAAGGGGACAGGCACCAAAAAGATCGGTGCGGCCGAACCCATGCTTCTTGGCATTGATGGACCGGTAGACCCCCTTTGGTGTGTCTGCAAACCTTTCGGTCAGACTTTTTGGCGGCGTTTTTGGTTTGGATGTGAATGGGGGACCCAAGGTAGCCGCCGTGGCCTGTTCCTTTGAGCCGAATTTTCGGAGACAAACCGCGTCTCTCAAAATGGGACATGCGGGTTGATCGGTTGCTAGGTCCGTGAGACATGGGACCATTGGGGAAGCCACCGACAGGCGATTTCCCGGGGAAAAGTTGGCCATGGTCATTTGGGGCCCGCTCGCGGAAGAGTGACGAACCCACGTATCTGTCCCTTTTCTGAGGCTGTTTCCAGTCTCCCCAAACCAACCTAAGGCTTCAGATTGGGCTGAATCGGTTTGAGGTGAGCCTGATTCAGGTGGTTGAGGATAGCGCGGCGGGTTGACCTCCGCTTTGGCTTTGGTCCTCTCTTTTCCCTTTGAACCTCCCCTTGAAACGGTTCTTGCTTTTGAGATGCTCGGTGTGCTCCAGGCAGGGAGTTTGTTTGGGGGGTCCACCTATTCTTGCTGGTGCTCAGCAGGGAATGAGAAATGGAATGACCCTAGAAAACAACCCGTCCAACTGGTGGTTTCCTTTATTCGCAAACCGAAGCCTGGGTTCATTCAACCACATCTTTTACTTCTCGCACCGATCGCTCGTTTTTTTTGGTGTTTTCTTTGCTCGACGGCTTCGATCCGTAGGAGGCATGGTCGAAGCTGAAGCAGCAGTGGTGCTGCGAACACCACGGCCACGGCTGTCTGGTCACCACGTCTCTGCCCTACGACTGCTTCGCGGGCTTCAGCCCCTCCGGTAGAAAATGCAAGTCGGAACACGCAGACCTGGGCAGTAGACATTTGTTGATGTAGTCTTTGGAATTGATGAACTGATTGATAAGGGGGGGGGCCAGTCCCCCCCCAATTGGTGGAGTTGTGGGGGGCGCCGGATAAGCAAAGCTGTAGAGGTGCTGCCTGCTTGCTTTGAAGGCTTTGCTGTGGGTAATTACTAGAGTGTGTGTTTGTGTGTGCGTGTGTTTGCAAGGGCCTGGGCATGAAATCATCGCGGGGTGGTGTTTTGGTTGTTTGTTTGGGCGGGGGGGGGGGGGGGTGTTGCGAGTCCCCAATCTGGTTACAACGCAAAAAACACGAGGTGCTTATGGAGCAATGAATGGCAATGTCTTCGAAATGAGTGCCTTTTTGGGGAACCCCCCCAACAACAGAGTAAGGAAACAAACAAAACATGGTGGTGTTCCTTCAAAACCACCAAAAAGGGGTATCCCCAAAAAGAGATACACTCAAATCTGGCCTGTGTTTCTTGGACATTGCATTCATTGCTTGATGCTTTGTTATTGCGCGGGGTGCAAAAAGTGATGCACGGGTCAGGCAGTTTGATCTTTGTAAACTAGAAATAAATCAGGTCCTAAGATTCAGGGATGTTCACCAAAGGGCTCAAGGTGCCAAAGGTGAGTTGCCGAATTGCCAAAAGGCCGCCCGCAACCTGGGAAAGACGCCTAAATCTTTCAAGCACATGAGGCACAAGAAGGGCAAATGGCAAAAGGCCAGATTTCGAACCCATCCCATCGCAGCTTCCGCCAAACACGGAAGGGCAGGGGCTTCCCTTCCAAGATGAAGATCGTCGGAGTCGGTGCACGCCCGATGGTTAGCGGCGGGTTGGCATTTCATTTGGCTGTGGGTCAAAACCAATGGGATCCCATTTTGGGGTTTTCGGTACACCAGCCATTTTTGTCGGGATTTTAGTTGGGATTGGGATGTTCACTGGGGGTACGATTTGGCTTTTGACCCACGGCATTTCATTTGGGTCTCCGCGCTAAAGAGCCTCGGCCAAGAGGGGGCCCATGCTAGGCCAGGAGCAGCTCGCGTGGTCGACTCCCAAGAAGGACAGCAAAAAATGCGGATCGGCTCCTGAGCGGTCGAACTGGGTCCATAGGTTTCCCTTTTGGTTGGTGCTCAGCAGGGAATGAGAATCGGAATGACCCCTATCCTTTTGTGGTTTCCTTTGAGGGAACCCCTGGGTTCTCCCTCACATAGGTGTCCTTTTGGGTTGTTTTGGTCGGAAAACAGATGGCGATTCCTGGCCTACCTGGTGGTTTAATCATCTACCCAGGGCCATCTACTTCCCCGAAAAGGACGCCTATGACTGGGTCTGTGAGAGCTTAGGTAAGTACCCAAACCTGGGCGGATGAACTATACCACCGTGGGGTGTTTTGTTGGGCTCTTTTTGTGTTGGGGGGCTGCGAACAGACGTCTTGCATCGACATGCCAACAGCACAAGCGTGCGCCAGGGCGTTTGGTCAGGCTGCATTCAGATATATGTTACTCCGTTATCCGACATGCAATGCTGTTTACAAGACTCTGCCGATGATACCATGGAACCACGGGATTTGGGCGCATCGAGGGGGATTTGCCTCGAAGTGACGCTCAAAATTATGCAGTCTCACGGCCCGGCACACATGCCCATACAGCAGTTCATCTCCTAACTTGTGGCCTGCAAAATTTTGGGAATGACCCGCTGCATGACGCAGCCAGACATGTTGTGTACAAACAGTTGCAAGAACAAGTCTGTTTCTGGTTCAACCAAGCACCCTGCAAATGAGTGTGAGTGTCTCTGCAGAATGGACTCTGGGCGCAGGGGTTATATGCTCCTAAAGCAAGCGTGCGGCAAAGACAAACAGACATACATTATGTCCTCCCTCGCACGCAGATGTTCCCTTGTTCCTCGCAGATGACAACCACACAAACCACCCTTGGCTTCTCCACAGGTTCTTCGTTCTTTGCTTTGGCGCTTCAAAGGGCGGCCTGTTGGGTGCCTGTTTTCGTGGGAGCTTCAACCGGCGCAAGCGCGCAGGACTGGTGCTGCAGCCACTTCCAGCGGGGTTGCGCGCCAGAGGTCACCACCACCCTGCTGCCCTACGACTGCTCCCCGGCCGTGACGCGCCTGCCAGCGCGCTTTGGGTGCCGGCGCCCGCGGAGTTCCGAGAGCGCCGAAACGAGGGTTGGGGAAGGAACATGTGGACTTGCGAAATTCGATGGGAACCAGCAGGCTTGAAGACTTGCGAAGACATGGTTTGGGGCTGGAGTGCCTTCCCCTGGCCCAGTGGCGGATCTTTTTAGGGCGGCTTTTTCCGAGGGCGCGGTGTGTTTGTAGCCTTGTCTATTCCCTTGAAACAGAAGCACTTGACTGGCCATCCTGAAGGAAGGCGAACCGTATGTTTGCCGCTTGAGGCACCGAATCTCACAGAACCGGAAGAGCCTGTTGCTTTAGGCCCACATCGAAAGCCGGAAAGCCGGGGATTTTGGGGTAACATGTAGGGCCAGCGGCCTGGAGCGAAAGATGGATTTCAAGCCACCGGTCTTTGAGACCACTGGGTGTGTGATTTTCTTGGCTAGCGAAGGAGCTGAAGCATTGCGAACCCTCCAAGCAACCCGTTTCTCTAAGGGTTTTTGAATTACACCCTGGGAAGACACCCACTGGGTATGGACCCCATTTAGGCAGATTTCTGGATAAAACCGTGCTATTTCGAACCATGCTGGATCATTTCCGGGTGACACCCTGAGAGTTTCCCGGTCGCTTCCCGCCGTTTCCTTCGTGCACCGGAGACTTAGAGGCTACGCGGGGTACGAGAACTGGCAGAACGGGTGGTCCGACAGCAAGAAGCGGTGGTGCTGCGACCGCTTCAGCAAGGGCTGCGCCCACGTGCAGAGCTCGGCGCCCTTCGACTGCGACGCCGGGGTCTCGCGCTGGGAGAGGCCGGATCAAAGTCTGGAAGATGGGCATGGGCGGTATGGGGTCTATTGGCTTAGGCCGTCGCGGAAGAAAGAAAACACCCGGAGGTCGAAATTGGGTGCTTGTCCTAGTTTCTAGGTTTGTGCAGAGGCGCCTGAATAAATTCGAAACAGACACAACGCTCCGGCAACATCGGCAACATGTGCTGTGGGCGACTTTGAGAAGGTCCACCCTTTGCAGGGAGTCTGCAAGACTTTGGCAGAGTGTTGCATAGATGAGCCAATTTCTTGTTGGTTGAATCTTGTCATCCTCGTCTCCCCCCCCCCCCCCCCACCCCCCCGATTGAAGGTTTGCGCTCGGCCTCCGCCCAGGTTTTGTCCCATCCAATCGGATGGCCCGATGTGGCTGTGGGTCAAAACCAATGGTACCATTTTGGGGTAGGTGCACTACCCATTTTAGTCTTTTTTTCTTGGGGATTTGGATTTTTCTGTTTCCCCCGCTGGCCAGGGGCTGGCCCGTGAGCAAGAAGCGCTGGTGCTGCGTCCACGCGCAGCGCGCCTGCGATCCCTACGACTGCAGCCCGGCCGAATGGGAATTGCCGTAGATGGAGCTTCCACACTCTGAGAGCCAAGACCTCCTCCATTTCCATTCCACCCTTTGCCAGCTCGCTGCCATAGCGACCGTGACTTGTGACTTGTGACTTTTCGTTCTATGTCCTCACAACAGATCCCCTGGCGACTGCAGGTGAATCAGTAACACAGCCCAGTCAAGTCAAGCAAAGCAGGCCCAATGCTATCAAGTTGCATTGTGGTTGTCCGGCATTTTTTGTTTATGTATTCTTTTCTTCTCCTTCTTCTTCTTCTTCTTCTTCTTCTTCTAGGACAACTGACCTGCACATGCTCAGAGTCAGACTGCTGCGGCCACGCGCATGATTACCTGGCCTCCGTGAAAGCGTTCTGGTCTACAGGGCTGAGTCTTCCAAAGGAACATCCAAATCTAGTTGTATTTTTTGGTGCTGTAGTATACATTTTCGATGCAAAATTCGTGTGTTTGAGAATTGGGGCCCTCTTTGGTGGTTGTTCGCAGGAACCCTAAACCCTGAGCCAGCAATTGAGATAATCACGATGGGGCAATCGGGATACCTCTCAAACAGAGGTTTGCCGTTTGCTGTGCAACATGTATAGCTGGCACTGTGGGCATGTTGTTGTTTATTATTTTTCTGACTCAAAGTCAGCATGCAGTGTTATTTTGTTGTTATTCATTGGGTGTGACTGCCGTTGTGGCGGCCAGGTTGAGAATGACCAGACTAGTAATGTCATGCCCCTTGAAGTTGCTTGAGCCAGCAATTGTCGTCATGGGCTGTTCAGGGCCTGTCACTATATTGTAAATATATGGGGTCCGGGTTGATGAATATTCCATTTAGGGCCCCCAAATGACCATGGGCAACTTGTCCCATTTAGTGGGACACATCATCCTTTTTTAGCGGTTTTCCAAGCAATGGTCACCCCATGTATCACGGACCTTTGATCAGCCCCCATTGATCAAGTAAGAGACAATCCCCTCCATACATAGGCGCGGCCGCCTTTGAATTCTTTCCATTGGTTTGGGTACACCACTTTAATACCGATCGGGTTTGATTCTGATGGAGCCATTGCGGCATGTGACATGGTCGCCGAGGTTCGGATGGCTTCCAAGACTGGAGGGCTCTGTGGTCGATGGCCAAGCAAGCTTGGTGCTGCGCCGCTCGGCGTTTGAAACTTTCGGATGCTGTGAGAGACGGCGGCATCGATTTTGACGTCCAAGGACACTTGTGCTCTTTTCCGAAAGAAGCATGGATACTTCAGGCGTCTGAGGTTGATCAGCATAGCAGCGAACAGTGCAACTGATATGGGAATCAAAAGCTGCGTTGCTCATGTAGGATTGATGGCCGACAAAGAGACAAAAGATGAAGAGAGAGGGAGAGAAAGAGAAAGGGAGGGAGAAAGCGAACGATACGGAAAAAGAGGAAGAGAGGAAGAGAGGAACAGCAAGAGAAAGAGGAAGACAAAGACCAAGAGAAAGGGAAGACGTGCTGTCTCGATTCTCCTTTCTGAGGTATTATCCATATTCTTAAGAGCTCGGGACAGTAGTACACTTTTCAGCACCTTATCCCGGATCTTGGGTAGCGGGGTGGTTTCATGCTCCATGTTGGGGGAGTTTGGCAAGGTTGATGCGGATCGGGTGGCGATCAGCGTGATCAAGCGTAGCCCTGCCCGCAAGATCGTTGCCCATGAGCGCTCGCTTGCCCAGTGGGAGGGATGTGATGACAGAGGAGGAGTTTGCAGAGTGGTGGGAGCAGTGCGAGGAGCTGCAAGAGGGCGGCGCATCTTTCTTCGATGTGCTGCGGCGCGACTTGGCCAGGCGCCTGCAGATACGGAATTTCAGGCAGCTGGCGCTCGCGTGTGGTGAGGGCACGCTAGGGCCAGACAGCGCCTGGATGCATGCGGAGATCGTGGTTGTAGTTCGGCAGTATCTGGAGATTTGCGGAGAAGAGCAGAGCTACCATCTTGCGGAGCTTTTTCAGGCAGGTGGCAGCGGTAACACATCGCAGGTGGTGTGCCTTTTGGAGGTGCCCATGGATCCAGAGAGCAGCCAAGAAGGCAGACCTGGCAGAACAGTGCTGCACGAGGCGTCCAAGAATGGCCATGCCGAAGTTGTGCGTTGCTTGCTGGACTCTGGCGCGGACAAGGACAGTGTCACAGGAGATACTTGGCGTACGCCAATGCATGTCGCCGCCAGGAATGGCCGTCAGCAAGTTGTGTCCTGCCTGCTGGAAGCTCGTGCGGACAAGGACAGGACCGACCTTCGGGGGAAAACACCAGTGTTGCTTGCTTCTGAGAGGGGCCATCCAGAAGTCGTGCGCTGCTTGGTGGAAGCTGGTGCTGACCATGGCAAGGCAAGCTGTGATGGTCTCCTGCCTTTGTTTGTAGCTGCCTCTCACGCACACCAGGAAGTTGTGTGCTGCTTGCTCAGAGGTGGTGCTGATGCTGACAAAGTGAACAAAGACGGGCAGACAGCAATGCATGAGTCTGCCAAGTGCGGCCATTCCCACATCGTGCGTTCCTTGCTCGAAGCTGGCGCTGATAGGGACAAGCCCGACAATGATGGAGATGCACCATTGCATGTGGCCACTGCCAATGCCCATTCTGACGTGGTGCGCTGCTTGCTGGAGGCCAGCGCTGACAAGGACAAGACCAATCATCGAGGCCGTGCGGCTATGCATCTTGCTGCTGCAGGAGGCTGCACCAAAGTTTTGCGCTGCTTGCTGGACGCAAGGGCGGACAAGAACCGCTTGGATGTTGACGGCCGGTCGCCTTTGCACGAGGCGGCTGGCAATGGCGATGTGAAGATTCTGGGTTGCTTGTTGGAAGCTAGGGCAGATATGAGCAAGGTTGACAAACACGGTTGTGTGCCCATGCACGAGGCTGCTGAAAACGGCCATGAAGAAGTTGTATGTTGCTTGCTGACAGCCGGAGCTGACCAGAACATGGCTGACCACCACGGGCGCACGCCCATGATGGAGGCTGCGTTGGGTGGTCATCATGGAGTTGTGTCTTGGTTGCAGGAGGCCGGGGCTGACAGGGATCGGGCTGACAATGACGGGCGTACAGCCCTTCATGTGGCTGCTGCTCTTGGGCACATGGAGGTAGTGCGTTGCTTGAACGGGGCCAACGGCAGCAAGCCCGACAGTGCGGGTGGAACTGCTGTGCATGATGCTGCTGCCGGTGGCCATCATGACATTGTGCGTTGCTTGGTGGAAGCTGGCGCCGACAGGGGCCAAGCTGACAATCGTGGACGCACTCCTTTGCATGTGGCCGCCCTCCGTGGGCGGCAGCGAGTGGTGAGCTATTTGCTGTTTGTTGGCGCTGCTAGGGACAAAGCTGACAGCGACGGGCGTACCCCTTTGCACTTGGCTGCTGGCAACGGCCATGTGAAGGCTGTGTGTTGCTTGTTGAAAGCAGATGCAGACATAAACAAAGCCGACAACTACGGCTGTTCGCCCATAGAGGAGGCTGCTGAGAACGGCCATGAAGAAGTTGCGTACTACTTGCTAGCTGCTGGCGCCGTGAAAGGCAATCTTTTGGGTACACCTCGTTTGGCCAGCTGCCTGGATGCTGCTCCCTTCATGTCTTAGGCTCGTACCCACAAAGCCGGAGCGGAAAAAACAATGCGGTTTAAGGAGCTGGCTGTCAGGCCGCTTTACGGGCGCACCGAAATCGCCAGGGGCTCTATTTTTAAGAGATCCTACTCCATGGAGTAAAGGAACACTATGAGCTTGACCAACTGCTGGGGCCGATTTCTGCCAACGGATTTCAAGAGCTGACTCCCGTTTTGATTTTTCAAGGCTTCCCCAGAAACACCCAAACTCCAACCAGAAATCTAAATCATCAAGAGGGAAGCTGACATAGGGGACTCACTCCCCACTGAAGGCAACCTCAACAACCTGTTCTTTGGCCAACACCCTCTTCTCTTTGTTCAGCTAACCCCTAGCTGGTTTGGATTGGGGGTAGATGCTAAACATATGCTTTGGAACACCTCCCAACCGGGCCAAAGGATTGGAGGGAAGCTGATGTTCCCTGACCAAATCCTTAGGACAAGGAGCATCGGGGCTGCCCTCCGCCCACCACCACGGGGCCCTTCGACTGCTCCGCGGGGCGCCTCGCCATACGCCAGGTGCTCGTATGGGGAGGTCAAGGGGTGTTCCTCTTGGTTCCCGAAAAAAATCAAACGCAGACACAAACCCACAAACCCACATGAACAGGCTCAGGCGCTGGTGCAGGCACAGGCACACACGCGCGCACACGTGCACATTGACATGTGTACACGTGTACACGCCCGCACGCGCGCACACACACACACACACACCCACACCCACACCAACGAGGGGCACTCTCAAAAATCACACCCAACAGGGGGTTGGAAGACTACTTTGCTTTTGAGGAAGTCCTATGTCCACTTCCATGATTGTTGGAAAGAGTATAAGGGGACAAGGCAACCAACCACGGCGGCCCTTCTGCTTGACAGACTTTAAGACAGCTTGACTTGAACCAAGTTGCGCAGGATGGCTGCGACGGGCGGTCAACAAGTTATTTGCTGTTTGGCCTAATTTTGAGCTGATTGACAACACCGGGTGAAACTTGCGTACCTGAGATATGTTGTCCGGGATTTGAACGAATCTGCTGTTCAAATGAGCGATCGCAAGGCTCCCGCGCGTGAAAGAACTACGGGGCCACTAGCAGGCTTCAGCACTGCCTTGCCAAGTGTTGGCTGAAGTTACGTGACCAACACATGGCTTTGCATGGCTCTGTTTGAAGCTCGTGGCATTCTTTTTTCTGAGGCTCAAACATTTGCGCAAGGCACTACTGAACGATTTGCAGCATCTCCCAGTGCCCATGTGCTCATTTCCCTACGCAATGTAACACAGGACGGAGGCAAGCGGAGTGTAATGCTGTGGATGGACGAAATCCATTTCGCACCTGTGGATGGTTGCAAAATCCATTTAACGCATCACCTAAGAAACCCTGGTTTCTGATTGCATTCCCCTGTACATACCAACAAACAATGTTGTTTTTTCATGGTTTCAGCGGTGCGAACGGATGTTGTCCATGCACAGTATCTCTTGCAAGCTGACCAGATGCCTTGCTTATGGCAAAAATTGGAGGCAGTGGTTTCACTTGAACCCATGAAAGCGGAGAAGGAAGAGCCCAGATGTGCAACGCTCTCCGTGAGCTGTCCACTGGCGGTTTGGATGCGTTGGGGCGTTGAGCCCTTAGTTGCAGAGGGTAAATGGACCCCCCCGCTGACCCCTGCCAAAGGGAAGCTGAAGTAGTGCTTGCAGCTTTCCGGATTTCTCATACCCGAACCATCACGCGCTTTCTCCAGCCGCGCTTACCTTGGGCCACGTGGGGTTTGCCTTTGCTTTCCGCGACTTGTCCCAAAAGAGCTGCCCAGACTCATGGTGACTTCAGGGTTGATTCCCCATTCTTTTCAACCATTGTTCTTTTCACAAACCAGCTGTTTCCTGCAAAGAAGGATGCCTGGAAAGAATGGAATTGGAAGGTACCCCAAGAGTGACGCTCTGGCCGCGTTTTTTTAAATCTTTTTTTCTCCTTCTCAGGTACGCCAACTGGGACATCGACTGGTCCGGCGCCAAGAAGGCGTGGTGCTGCAAGAACCACCAGCGCGCCTGCGAGCGCTTCGATTGCCACCTGGGCTTCAGGCCGGTTGGGTTGGGTTGTGCGGGGCGGGGTGGCGGGGTGGCGCAGGGGCTGGGCTCGTCTTCTTCTTATTTTGGCTGGGACTGAAAAACCCAGTGGTTCATGTCGGTGGGTCTTTTTTTGAGGGTACCCCTTTTGGTGTGGTTTTAAAGGGAAATTCAACAGGAACACCCATGAGTTTGGAGGGTTCCCCACTAAAAGGACACATCCATGTATGCCAATTCCTGCAGGTTTTCAAGTCGGAGTAGAAGACTGGAGTTTTGCTTTTCCGGAACACAGGTCGGAATGATTTCGATTTGATGGCCTGAAGGCCAGGCATTTACAGTGCGTGTGCTTCCGTGTGCTTCTCAGCACCCTTATGCGACCCCATGCAGATATGGCAAGGCTGTGTTCTCAGTCGCATGGCTCATGCTGCCGTTAGCAAAAGTCTCGATATACATCTTGGTAGGTGATGATTGGGCAGCTTTCATTCTGTGGAATGAACGACTTGGACAAGCTTCACCCCTTTGAACGGAGCATCCAGGGTGTTTAGAAGATATTGAACACGGCTGCCGTTGAATTGCTACAACCCAACTCAGGTTTATGCAGTGCGCAGATTCGCTACTCACTATCAACCCTTTCAACTTCCGGTGAGATTCTGACAAGGCAGTATGGCCTGCACTGCTGGCTGGGACGCCTCCCAGCCTTAAAGGTCCATACGCTCCCCCTTCTGCTTGGTCACCAAGTTGTCATGAAGATGCGCCCTTGCCAACAGCAAAAGGCAAGCGTGGCTTTCTGCAAGTTGGCCGACGTTTGGGGAGAAACACCTCGCCCAGTCACTGGCAAGTGAAGTGGCCGCCGGAGAAACAGAAGTTCTGCTGCGCGCACTCGGGCGCCGGCTGCCCCGTGAAGACCACGTCCGCAGCTTGGCTCCGGTTGCAAGGGCGGGCGTGGGGCGGGGCCTCAAACCGGCTTTCGGGGCGCACCCGAAAGGCAAAATGAAGGTCACCATATTTCCGCGGGTCGGAACAACAGTTCCACCCTGACTCCGAGTTCGTCTTCTTTCGATGGTACCCTTTTTGCGCTTTTAAGTCAAACGGCGAACCAGAAGGACCACCGCGGCGCCATTTTTGTTGGGTCCGACCTGCAAAGCTGCCACATAGGTGTCCTTCTTGGTTGTTTTGGTCGAACAATAGATGGCGATTCCTGTTTTACCTGGTGGTTTCATGATCTACCAGGGATATCCATCTATTTTTCCCCCAGCAGGACACCGACTGCGCAGCCACCGGCTTTTTTGCGCGTTTTGCGCAGCCAACGAATTTCTTCCGAGGAGCGCTTTGACTGCCTCAGCGGCTACGAGCGCTGGGAGGCCTGGAGCGCCCCGAAGCGCCACTTCTGCTGCGCCGCCTACGAGCGCGCCTGCGACCCCTTCGACTGCGAGGCGGGGCGAGGTCCAGGGGCGGTGGAGTCGGCGGAGTCGGTGGAGTCGGTGTTTGTGTTGAAACCAAGCATCCCAACAAGGAGTCAACCAACCATGCCAAGAAAGGAGAGGGGCTGTCTTTTTTTTGACGCCTTTTTGGGGTCTTCAAGTGAGGGTCCCATTTCAAGACACACCCAGTTGGCGAATTGTGTTGAACCCGAACATCCCAAAAAGCAGTTTCAAAGGAAAGCCGGAACAAAAGGAGTTTTGGACAGAACGCACATTTGAAACGAGACATAAAGCCCAACAGGTCCGGGGAGACGCCCTTCATCAACATCACGCTTGTGGAAGCAAACCCCCCCGCAAAAAAGGAGAAGCAAACCCCAAAAAAAAACCTAGGCCCTTCCGCAAAAAAAAGAAAGAAAGCAGAAGCAAACAGCAACTCAACCCCTAGGCCCTTCAGAGCATCGGCTTCTCGCGGGCCTTGGGGTTTCGGGTGCCCAACCGCGCCACGTGCTCGTCCCGCAGGAGGGCTTCGGGCACTGGGAGACCGGGCGCCGCGGCTTCGCGCTTCGCGCGTCGCACGTCGCGCGCGGGCGCCGCCGGTTCGCTTTTTTCGCTGCGCGCGGGGAAATGGGGGGGTTTTGGTGAAGGGATGACGTGGAACCGGTGTTTTTTCTTTCTTTCTTTCTTTCTTTCTTTCTTTTTTCTCTCTCTTTTTTCTTCTCTCTTTTTTCTTCTTCTTTCTTTACTTTTTTCTCTCTTTTTTTTCCTCTCTCTTTTTTCTTCTTCTTTCTTTACTGTTTTTTGCTAGCCCCGGCTCGGGGCTTAGCCCCGGCCAGGGGACTGGTTTGGTTGGTTGGTTGGTTGGTTGGTTGGTTGGTTGGTTGGTTGGTTGGTTGGTTGGTTGGTTGGTTGGTTTCCGGGATGACGTCCTTTTCGGAGTTGGTTCTTTCAACAGGGGGTGGCTTTGTTTTTCCAACGGTAGAGGTTCATATCCCTTTGAGCTCCCGCCGACAAAGAAGTGTCGTCGTGGTTGCAAAATGCGTAACAGTCAGATTTTGGCATTCGGGAAGCCAAGAGCAGGTGGCTTGAGCAATACCTTCGTTGGAGCTCACCATCGAGGTGTAGCTCAAGGGGAAATCACAAAGTAGGAAAACGGGGCTTGGACCCAACATGTGGCATGTTCAATCTTTCAGATTTATTTCCCTTTTAACCAACCCGTAAGAGGAGAATTACAACCAAATGCACACCTCCTCCTTGTTTTTCTGTCACAGCCACGTTTGGCTTTGAGGCACGTGAGGAGAACATAGAAAGATACGCTGAGCCCTGAGTGAATGATCTCTTTTTCGCCTAGCGGGTCTCGGCCCCAATCCATGCGTCGGAAAGACAAAACGCATCAGGTGAACACAGCCTGCAAACACCCGCAGACACCCGCAGACACACACACACACACACACACACACACACACACACACACACACACACACACACACACACACACACACACACACACACACACACACACACACACACACACACACACACACACACACACACACACACACACACACACACACACACACACACACACACACACACACACACACACACACACACACACACACACACACACACACACACACACACACACACACACACACACACACACACACACACACACACACACACACACACACACACACACACACACACACGCACACACACAAGCACACACACCACACACACACACACACACACACAAAAAACACAAACACAAACACACACACACACACAACACAACACAACACAACACAACACAACACAACACAACACAACACAACACAACACAACACAACACAACACAACACAACACAACACAACACAACACAACACACCAACACACAAACACACAAACACACAAACACACAAACACACAAACACACAAACACACAAACACACAAACACACAAACACACAAACACACAAACACACAAACACACAAACACACAAACACACAAACACACAAACACACAAACACACAAACACCCAAACACACACACACACACACACACACACACACACACACACACACACACACACACACACACACACACACACACACACACACACACACACACACACACACACACACACACACACACACACACACACACACACACACACACACACACACA